TACACACATATATATATATATATATATACACACATATATATATATATACACATATATATACACACACACACTTTATACTTGCATCCTGATCAGTAAACACAAAATGAAGTTGGACTGAACCGAATAGTTCGAAGCTTCATTTATAAAGTTAACATTTGATTTGTAAATCAACATTCAAAAGGCTTTTTAAAAAAATTGTGTTTGAAGCCAGATTAGTGCACGGTTGCAGATAAAGATCAGGCTCCACTAATATCATTATTAATATTATTATTATTATTGTTGTTATTATTATAGATTACAGAGGTGTCTCCGTCGGGTCTCTGGCGTTTGGATGTGTAATGTCATCACCAGGTGTGCTTGTCTTCCAGGTGTCTCTGGTGTCTCTGACAGCAAACATTCTGGGATACTCTGAGCTGGGAGCCATCAAGTCTCTGAGGACTCTGAGAGCTCTGAGGCCCCTGAGGGCCCTGTCTCGCTTCGAGGGCATGAGGGTGAGACAGGCATTTTAAAACACTGACACACAGACAGACAGGTTTATCAATATGTAACCTCTCTGTCACCAGAGGGTGTTAACCATCTATCTTAGTCTGTCTGTCTGAGCCAGTAAAACCTGTCCAAGCTTCAACTGGTCCAGAATTCCTGAACCCATCAATAGAAGGCAGCTCCACATGAATGTGTATTAGTTATTATTGTATCAGTGCATTGACCTGGCTACCTGTCTACATGTCTCTCTCCCTGTACCTGTCTGTCTGTCTGCAGGTAGTGGTGAACGCCCTGGTCGGAGCGATCCCGTCCATCTTCAACGTGCTGCTGGTTTGTCTGATTTTCTGGCTGATCTTCAGCATCATGGGAGTGAATCTGTTTGCAGGAAAGTTTTATTATTGTTTCAACGAGACGTCTGAGGAGACGTTTCCTGCTGAAGTCGTCAACAACAGGACTGAGTGTTTCGCTCTGATGAAGGCGAATTTCACCGAGGTCCGCTGGAAGAACATAAAGGTCAACTACGACAATGTGGGGATGGGCTACCTGTCGCTGCTGCAAGTGGTGAGTCATTAAAATCATCAGACATGACAGTTTATAGAATAATCCCTATAACACCACAGTCATATCCATACCCATCAACCCTGTGACAGTTTATAGAATAATCCCTATAACACCACAGTCATATCAATGCCCATCAACCCTGTGACAGCTTATAGAATAATCACTATAACACCACAGTCATATCCATACCCATCAACCCTATAACAGTTTATACATCACTATAACACCAGTCATATCCATACTCAACAACCCTATATCAGCTTATACATCACTATAACATCACAGTCATATCCATACCCATCAACCCTATAACAGCTTATAGAATAATCACTATAACACCAGTCATATCCATACTCAACAACCCTATA